ACCTACTCGCCCTAGGAAAATGAACTCACATCACGTGTGTCTTGAATTGAATGGATGAGGGAAAACAGGCATCATTCCAAGAACTAAGTGCCAAATCTTACTGCAAGGGGCAGGAAATGGAACCGTCCACTTCCTGGTGACAAAGGAGCACCCGACTTAATTTTGTGACTCACAGTGACTTGTGCCTCTCTGTCCTCTCACTGAGCTTTCACACTCAAGTTTATAGTTAGAACGAGGGAGACCCAGCATGGAGACCCAGCTTTCCCTCGCATCTTTCCCTAATTAGCTCTCTTCAATTTGCCATCCCAACACCTAGGTCCTCGCCCTCCATGCTTAAGAACAGACTGGCCGGTGTACCCCTCTTACCTCACCTGTCTGCAGGCAGCTTCTGGGTCCAAATTTTGATGCTGTTTTTTAGACCTTGCTAACACCAGCTTAAAAGTCCCAGTACTCAGGTCTTTCCCACCTAATAAGACTCTTGTGCTTCAGGGACAATGACACAACATCTTTATAACAAAAGCCGCAGCTGTATGTAGCAGATGGACGTTCATTATTGGACAGACATGACTCTGTGTTGGGACAGAATGGGCTTCTCGAAGATTCAGATCTGAGAGTGGAGGCTGCAAATGATTTCCTGAAAGGCAGCCTTTGAAAGCTGCTTAGCGACATCAACATCTGAATGCACGTGTTACAATCTAGGAATATATAAAGCCACACTTAGTTACAGAGTGTGGGAGAGTAAGTATGTACACGTCTATGTGGGGAAAACGAGACATAGATGGCGGAAAAGAGGGCTAGCGCAGTTCTTTTATCCCCACCTCCGTACACGCCTCTAGCCACGCCCAAAAGTGGGCCTGGCTAGCCGCATAGTTCACTGCCTATGGCCTTATTTGTCTTTAATCACGCCCAAAGTGGGTGTGGTTAGCGGTGCGATAAACTGCCCTTTTATTACTTCATCTGTATGCACCTCTAATATGCCATGTGGCTAATGGCGGAGTCTTAAGTTTCCCCCTACACATAGAGGGCCAACAGCGAGTACCATCCTATTACTGATTAAAAAAGTCCGACAGGGTGAGGGTGTAACTGTACCAGTCAGCCACGTTATCAGCACCACACTCATCGAAACAGCTCCAGAAGCTCTCCAGGGAACTGGGGCTTCGTAGACACGTGTGGAGGAGCACAAGGAAGAAAATTCCACAAAACAAACGGTGAACCACCAGTAAAAGTGGAAAGAGAGAAATAGGTGCAGCTCTACCCACGTGAGCTCGGAGCCAAGGTGGACACCGGGGACTCTCTGCAACCCTGCTGGAGAAAGCGACTTAATTAGTGACTTTTGAAAAGCTGGATGCTTAGGGTTTGCTCGACGCTATGCACGCCACACATCTGAGTGAACCAGTGTGGGCATTCGTGGGAAAGGTTTTAGGTGCTAGGGAAAACATCAGTGGGAAAATTGGCAATGTTTAGAGCCGACTTTCCTAATATCTAAGAAGACCCTACCGCTCAGGAAAAAGAGGCACCAAAGATTGACAAAGAACAAATTCACAGAGGAAACATGTTTTTTTCCAAATGCTCTACGTATGAGAATTCGTCCAAACTACATCGCGAGTGCGGGTGCTATGAGGCACTGTTTTGAGTAGACCAGGCCAGCAAATGTCAGTGTGGCAACATGCTAATCAGATGTGTGGCACACCCACACTTTTCCTAGCCTGCACTTCCGAGGACTAAAATCCAAAGTATCTTACACACAACACATTTCCTTTCTCAGGCAATACATTTTTCTCATAACTTTTTTATTTTGCTCTTCTCTGGGGAAAACTGTTTCTCCCACTGGGCAAAACATCTTAAGGAATTCATCTCACTAATTAATATACCTGTAAAGTTATAAAATGGGATATTAATCCATTGTGGTATTATTGAATAACCACAGACATCGGCAAATGTCTACTAACATGGGCCCAGCTAGATAATGAAGGTACATGAACACACTGAGTATGTAAGCTGTGGTATTCTCACTGCCAAATCTCTGAAACGACTGATTTAGAAAAAAAATAAAAGTTAAAAACAAGGGGTGTCTAAGCATGCAATTTGGTGTCATTTGTGTGAGAAATTGTATGTGTGGGAAGAAGAATAAAGTAATTTATTAGAAGAATACACATAGGTATACAGATAGACAGACAGACAGACAGACAGACAGACAGACGACAGACAGGTGGATGATAGACGAGACTAGGCACACCAGTTTCCTCTGAGACTCATGAGCAGATTGGAATCTTTGACTGCTTCTTATTTTTATCTTTTAAGTTTTGTCTCATGTGAGAATAACATCTGACAAAAGGGTAATTTTTAGGAAGAGAAAATCTTTAGATATAGGCTGCCTAAGTTGTTCTGAAGTGTGGCACTGACTTTGTAAAGGTTTTGGTTCAGAACCAGAGTTGCCACATGGAACAAGGTTCCTGGGTGGCCGTCTGCGTTAGAAACAATGGCCCGGGCGCAGGTACCCGTTCTTGCCCGCCTTGGGAATCCTGACTGCTACCTCTTCTTCAGGAGTCACCACAGTTGTTCATCATGTCAGGAAAAAACCAATTAGCCAACCGACAATTCAGGAAGCCTTGTATAACTCCGGGAAGCAGGCGGTCTCTTTTATAACGGTGATGAATTAGCATTTAACTCCTTTCTTGAAGAGCCACACAGACCTCCCTATCCTCACCGTATGCCAGCTAGCCGCTGATAGCCACCAGGATGGGATGTCAAAACCCTGGTTCTTGACATTGGACAGGAGTTTTCCGGTGACAAGAACCAACTCAGGAGGTTGCTGGGGCTAATTCCAAGATGCTGTCTCTGTTTCCCGCCTTGCCCCCCTCTGACTCCAAGTCAAGTGCACACCCCAGGACTCTCTAAGTCAAATCTTGTAATTGCTTCCAATTTGTCTGTTTTGCTTTTGGCAATTAACAAACTGAAATGCTATCACGGAGGAGTTCATCTCATTTGTAAGACTGGGTTTTCCCGCCACTAAAATATGCAGCCGCTCTGTCCTTCAGTTCAGGCAGGAGATAAATGGCTGGTTTTCGTTGCTGAAGAATATATAATGGTTAAAAAGTCACTTTTTTCCTCCAGCTCTACATAAATCACAGAACTAGTCAATATTTAATAATGCTTGCCTTGGTCTGGAGTCCCTTGATCACCCCTGTCATGTGTAATAGCTCCCTCTCCGATATCTTTGACATAAAAGCCCAGCTTTACTGAAATGCTAACATGTAGAGGGTCATTACGGATCGACATTTACCTTAATCTGAGACTGCCAACCATGAACCGATAAATTCCAGCAGATTCCACTGGGAGAAATCAGTAAACTTCTCAGTGGGAAGAAGTGAAGGAAAATTCTGCCGAGGACAGAATACATTTTCCACAAAGGCTGCTTAGCAAATGGATTCTGACTTTCGAAAGTTCTTTCGCTGCCCAGCTTTGCAACATTTAATACCGTTTTGATGGTTTGAGGGACGGGATGACAACCGAAGATGACAGGACTTAGAAGGTAAGCAGAAATGTTCTCTGCAAAAACAATGCAAGATTAAACACGAGGGGGAACACGGCTCTTGCATTATTCACCCAGCTGCCTTGGCGGAAATAGCTGGGCTGTCATGGGTCCGGCCTAAATGTTGCTGCTTTTTTTCAAATCGATCATCACTCCTTCACCTCATAATCTTACGAGTGCTTCACAGCAGAATACATCAAAGCCCTGATTGCATAAAAAAGGGACAGACCAATCTTTGAGGGGATCAGCTCTGCCTCTGCCTCGGAGTCCACCATTCACTGTTCATTTGCTTATTTGCCTGCAGACACGCTATGGAAAATTTAGGAAAACCCTCTTCAAAGCCTCAAAAAGCCAGTTTTTCTCTCTCTTGGTGCCTTCTACACATATTGTGGATGCAATTAAGTCTTACAAGTAGACACGACACAGACACAGACACAGACATTACAATCTGGAGGGTACCGTTTTCTTTTCACTGGAGTGTGCAAACTGTCCATGCTATGGCTTTGCCAACTTGCTATTGGTTAGGAAACAAATATTGAAAACCCTCCTGAATAAAATTAGTATGACTTCTCCTGGAAATTGTGACAAAAGAAGCAGTTATTAGAAATACAAACTAAAGTTTCTTGTAAGCCACGCCATGCAATGCTTCCGTGGTGTGCTTACAACATGAGTTGTGCTAACAGAACCCGACTTACTAAACGCAGAGTTTGATGATGTATTCGAGGAACCCCAATAGCCCAACCCTTAGCTGCCACACCTGCATTACCAGTTTAGCAGAGAATTATGGAAATGATAAGCAGAAATAACCTGTCTGGGACAGAGTACAGAAACAAAGCTGAAGTCTTCGCACAAACAGTATTTTGGGCTTGTGATGTGTTTTAGGCGAAGAAAGGGCAAACAGGGGACCCTCTCCTCTGCTGTAAAGGCAGCTCAGCACCCCAGAGTGACCGGGACCACAGACTATACCAACCCCCAGCTGTATGCTGACTTGCCCCATACCTATCGTTATATTTAATTTACAAGTTAGAAAGTTAAAAACTAACCAGAACTAATAATTAAACTGAGAAACTGTATCAATATGATAGAATAGAAACTATGTACACATAGTCTTTCCCTTTCTTTCTGGAATCTTCTATTTAACAGTGTTGTGATGTCTGAACACATGGGGGAGGGGGCTGAAATGCCCGAAATGAAGCCACCTTTGTCCCGTGAACCTGGCCTGAGTTTGTGCATAAAAAGAACCATCTATATGGTGTGCTGAGACACACATTGCTGGATTCTACCTCAGCTCCGGCCATTCCCACAGCTCTGGGAGCCACACACTAACCATGGCTTCTCTAATGCATCCACATAGGTTGCATTTTTAGGAAAAATCCAAGAGATGAAAATTAGGCTAAAAGCAAGTATTCAGGTACAGATAAACAGCTTTCTGATATTACTGAAGGTGTAAGAATCGCACACAAATTACCTTGATTTACAAAGAAGTTTCCAGCAAAGAGGACTGAGTAGGCTAAGTGCCCATTAGGGTGAAGAGGTGCCCTCCCCCACCAAATGAGTTTCATGGGATTTCTGAGCTTTGACAAGTACGCTGACCACGCCTTCAGGAGGGACTTCTAGAGCCCAGTTTTCTACCTGTGAGTTTGCAAATAAAATAAGTGCGTACTTTGATTTGGGCAAATTTCTTGAAAGAATCTTTTTGCTGCGGGCAAACCATGGTGACAGAACACCTCGTTTTGTCACTGGGATCCAAGCACACCTTGTGTTTTCTCCCTCCTGCTGTGAAAGCTTAGAGTTCCAATTCCCAACCAAGACTATGGTTTGTGATTTCCAGAGGATGGTGATTGGTTCTCGGAGAGCCTATGTGCAGGGCTGCGCATAACCACAGACTATTTTTCAGAATTGCTTAATGACAATTCCTATGTGGTTGGGATAAATGAAGAGAGATGCAGTTGGCCTGTTTCCCTGAGTTCCCAATTTCTGACTGGAGGGGTGGACTCTTGAGTCTGAGAAAAAGTCACCCATGGCCTCTACACTCCCCCTCCTTCATTTTCTTCCCCCCTCCCCCTTCTGTCTCTGTCGCCTCTGTCTTTCTCTGCCGCTCTGCCGTCTGAGCTCACGTTCCCTGAAGAAGCTGCATCTACGTTGAGGAGCCCAGATGACTGACGAGGGCCTCTTGTGTTTCTGAAGTGCTGGAATACTGAATATAGCGCCACACTCATCTTAGGCTATCTGCTTTCCTTACCCTGAATAGTCATTTTCCACCCATGTTTGAATCTGATACACACCCTTGTGACCATCGATGGCATTCACTGAGCAGACTACAGGACCCAATCCGAAAGCCTCAGGCAGCATCAGGCAGCATCAGGGATCCATAGCAAAGTCCTTGGCTTTTCTGTTGCCTGCCTATCTAATGTTCCCACCACTGGTTTGGTGAGCACACAGATTCATTCATTCATTCATGCATTCATTCATTCATTCTTTGGTTCTGTGACTACAAAACATTCCTGAATGTTTCTACATGTAACATGTTACCAAGATCAGACAGAATCTACATTTCTGGGTCAAGTCCACTCACATTTAGCTCAGAATCAACGGCCTCTGATTCCATGGAGTGTGGCTACATTTGGTATGGGCAGCTTCACGATGGCATCAAGAAATAAATGGACCACTGTGCATCTCACCAATAAATAATCACACAAGAAGCTGATGTGATGTTAGCCTGCCTGTTCAAAAGAGGAAGAAGAAGGACCCCTAAATAAAAAATGAATCATAACCTGGATGAGAGTCAGCAATGGCCTGATAACCAAGTGACTGCAATGGCCAGCTGTCCAAAGGAAGATGCAGCCATGGGTAAGATACAGAATGGGGCTCACAATCTTTTTTTTAATCATCTTTTAGTCTCTGGCTAGGACTCGATAGACTAAGTGTCAGTGGACCATATTTGACCTTCCAAAGCTTATTGATTATGTAGGCCATTTTCACCTTACTCTTTGTGTGTGCACGGTTTGTACACGTATGTGTAGGTGCGTGGCTGTGCACATGTGGGATGTCAGGGTGCAACTAAAGGCACTGTTCCATGAGAGCTATCCATTCTGTTTTTAAGTCAACGTCTCTCGCTGGCCTGGGACTCATCAGTAGGCTAGGCTTGCTTGCTGGAGCTCCCTAGTCACCCTATTGTCTTTGTCTTCTGAGAGTTGGAGTCGTCAGTGCACACCATCACATCTGGACTTCTAAACGTGGGTTCTAGGGGTTCACACACAAGTTCTCATGCTGTTAAAGAGAGGCCTTTGCCAACTGAACCATGTCCCCAGCTCTGACCTTAGCTACCAAGTACAAACAGGCTCTCCACTCCTTGCAAAAAGATGATCAAACATGAGATCTTGTGGCAGGCAAATGTTTTCAATTGTAAAGGCTTTATTTGTTAAGGTAAATACATTTTTCCAATTATGAAAATAAATGTGAAAAGACTGAGTGCTATTTTTTAATAAGTGTGAGGTTGCAGATGTTTTGTCTTTATCAGAGAGAGGCTCTGGGGTTCTTTGGATCTGTGCCTTCTGCTCAAACCTTGCTTCAGTCACAAACAGCTATGCATAACAAGCCATAAAAACCCAGATTGGAAAAACCTCATTCATCAATATGTTTCATAATGATGCAGCTACAAAAAGGGGCTAAAATGATTTCTAAAAAATGATGCTCATGAGATTAAATAATTAATGGTAATTCCAGATAATTATAATAGTCACTTTAAGTACTTGGTTAATTTAAGATAAACATTTTCTTAGGTTTGCTTCAGTGTTTGGATAAACATTCTGACTTTTACTCTACACTAAAACTGACAACTGTACCATTTTTCTCTGACTAGGAGTTTTTTTTAACCAAACAAATTTATCTTATCTTAAAATGAATATTATGGAAAAGGCTCTTGGTGGTTTAGAGGTTGGCTCAGCATTGACCTAAATTTTTTTCTTTGAAATAGAAAATAAATTTGAGAACAAATGTGTGTGAAAACACAAACATTTCAACAAAATTTCCATTCTTAATAAAGCTCTTAGCATACTCAAGAAAATCTTAGGTAGGTAATTCATTTAATTTTTCATGCTAACCCTTTAAAGAGAAGCACTGTTGAGAAATCTGAGGCTTCATAGAAAAATTGTGCTCACGAAGGAGCCTGAAAAAGCAGGAATAGGGCGGCTTCCCCTGTGTTTTCCAGCGTCTTCACAAAACCATGCCTGTGCTTATTTTTCTTTAAGTATTTATTTCATTCGTTTTAATTATGTATTGGTGTGTGTTTCTGGTGTGGGCATGTGAGTAGAGGAGCCCACAGAGGCCAAAAGACAATGTTGGTTTTGCTGGATCTGGGGTCTAAGGCAGTTGTGAGCTGCCTGATGAGGGTGTTGGGAATCAAACACAGGTCCTGCAAGAGCAGCAATTGCTCTTCAGCTCTGAGTCATGTCTTCAGCCCTTAAAGTATTTTTGTTTTATATTAAATACCCATTGAACGTCAAAAACATTCTTTAAATAACAGAACAAACCGCAGGGGAACTAGATAGGAATAGAGCAATTCTGCCTTAACCACCCCAAATAGCTCCCTTTGGTCAGACTGCGGTGACAAAACCCATTGAGCTATCAAATCCTTACTCTATCAAAACACTAAGGATGTGGAATTGATGCACAAATGATTTACTTTTAAAACCCCAATTTTACCAAATTTGCAGCATTTTATTTTCATCTTAAGGGTCATTTGCCCACGTGACACGTTTATGATGGCACACTTAAGGCTGTGAAGCATATTTGTCTATGACATGCTGAACAGTAGGGAAGTATCTTTCTGCATGTATGGGTAACAATGCTATTAAATTTGCAAAAGACGTAAAAAAATCCAGCATATTTCTTTTTCTAAAATGTAGAAATCATTAAGGGATGAGCTGAGTACAAGAGAGAGGGAGGGAGGGAGAAAAGAGGGGGCAGGGAGGGAGAGAGAAAGAGAGAGGGAGGGAGGGAAAGCAGGAAGGATGGGGGAGGGAAGGGGTGGAGAGACAGAGAGATACAGAGAGAGACAGAGAGAGAGATGCCAAGTGGAGGACAGAGTTCTGTGCTCCGCAGCAGTGTGGAGACTAGAATGGATGGGGACCTGGCAGAGTAGAGTTTACAACCCAGTTCTCCTGTCCTTTCTCAGGGGCTGTGGTTAACATTGCCTGCCATCTGTACATAATAGAGATCAATAACGGTGTCCCCTTGCTTAAGGTTTCTAGAATATCTTAGAGATGAGTTGGGGCAGCCAGAACCACAATTCACAGTGTACACTGGGGAAGAGTGCAAGGGTTTTCAAACTTTTAAAGGAGTATTTGTTTCAATATTCTCTCTTCCTCCCACCCTCCCTCTCTCCCTCCCTCTCTCCCTCTCTATCCCTCCCTTTTCCCTCTTCTCCCTCTCTCTCTCTGTCCCAGAGTGGAGAAATGGAGACCTGCTGGCCTACTGCCATTCCTGCTTTTAAGGGTTAGTATCCATCAGAGGGGTCTGCACAATAAATGCTTGATAGCAATAATGACTCAAGCTCGGTCTTGGCAATATACTGCTTTAGCTTCTTGGAAAGCAACCAGTCTCACACAGGGTTGGAGAGGATACGATCAAAAGTAAGGGAGTACAAATTAAATTGAAGAGCTGGAGTTTTTGTGGTAATATTTATATGATATACTCCTCAATGAAGACAGAGTGCATTAAAATTATAGGCAATTAGCAAACATTGCCAAAAATACCTATGAGTAATTTTTATAAACTAATGAGTATTTCTCTGAAAAAGAAGTTAAATTTATTTAATCAAGAAAAATACAAAGAGGTGTAATTATTATTTTTACACTAAATAATACTACACTGGTCTGTGGTGGGCATACACTATTAACTGAACTTGGAGAATGATGTTGGAAAGCCAAGAGTAATTTTTTCTTGCTTTTAATTGTCAGCAAATATATTACAGACCTCTGAAACGTGAGCATCAAACCCAGATAGTAATAAAATTTTAAATACCATTTTTAAAAACCTGTATCAAATTCATAAAATCAAAATAGTTTATTCTAAGAGATGATGTAAGTTCAATCCCTTAACTGATTAATCTGCTTGTTGGACAGCAATCTAAGCACACCTTTGAATTAGAGTTTTCAATTTTAACTTTTTAATCATAAATGTAGTTATTAGGGTATCACTAAGAATAAGAACATGCACCTTTCATATATCATCAAAGGAGGCACAATCGCAGGTATGTCCATTAAAGCAACTTATTTATTCATGAATACATGTATGTATTCCTTCCGCAGATGTACATATAGCCCTTAAATGTACATTGAACTAAAATCAACTTTTAAATGAATTTTAATAAGTAGAACAATCTCCTCTCACGATTGACAGACTTTTACTTCTCCCTTGATACCTAACATCGCCCAGCAGTTTACAAATCTCAGGGCGCAAACTGACACACTCACCAATGGGCCCCAACCCTTGGCTGTGCATGCTTGCACTCTAAGGTGTGTAAGCACCCAGGGTCACATCCATAGGCCTAGCAGCTGAGTCTGGAGAACTGTGAATTCGTGCATCATCTAGATTTGAGCCATAAGTTGCGACCACACTTGGAAAGGTAATAGCCACCTCGTAGTATGGCCACAAGGCAGCAGTGAGTAACCAGGAGGGCAAGCAGCTCCAGGTGTGCTTTCCTGGTGTCACCAATCAGCTGCCCTGCTCTGAGCACCAATTCTGTTCTGATCAACACCCACTCGGCTCTAAACGCCACCTCTTCTCAAAGCACACAGAGCCTTTGCTTTGAACACCACCATGCTCACTACTTAGCAACGGAGTGAGAGAGTCAGATGCTCTAGAAGGAAAAGCCTTCTTGCTTGAGGCTACATCAAGTATTTTCATTTACATCCCAGGCCTAAAAAAGAGCAAGTGGACACATTCATACTTGTATTTTTATTTTTTAGGTTTTTCGAGACAGGGTTTCTCTGTATTGCTTTGGAGCCTGTCCTGGAACTTGCTCTGTAGACCAGACTAGCCTCTAACTCACAGAGATCCATCTGCCTCTGCCTCCCGAGTGCTGGGATTAAAGGCATGCGCCACCAACACCCGGCTTCATACTTGTATTTTTATGTATTCTTTGGCTATAAGGGAACATCATTTGCTATGGCATTGCTCGTTCCTTGGGATCTATCTGTCACTATTCTAAGCGGACACAGCCTTGCTTCTTAACACTTTCCTCACAGCCTACCTGCAGGAGGGCTTTGTATGACCCCTCCTTTACAAGGGAAGAAAGCAAGGGATGAAGCTGATGTGAATTGCACAAGGCCACACAGCAGGTTAGCACTTGAGTTAGGGTTTGTATCTAAGTGATTTAACTGTATCTTCTCTCCATTACCTCGACCCTGTTCTTACTGTCGCGTTACGTTCACAATTGGGTTAGAGAAGCTTCTAAGAGGCCAGTTTTGATGGTCAACTGAGAGTCTATTTATAAGGAAAGCCATGCAGTTTCTCATAAAATTAATAGAAGTGGGAGTGGCCACCAAACGTAAGGACTCTACTTATTCAGGCAAAATGTTCTCACGAAAAGGAACAGGAGAGTCAGCATAACCAAGTTCGTTAGAAATATCAACTCCCCAAACTTACTTAGCATTGCACCATGGTAAACAAAAGTCTGATGGTGTTAACTCAGAGCTGCTATCAAAATGAGATTAATTTTCAAAAGTTCTCCCTGAGTCCGCTCTCCAGGAATCACTTTAAGGGTCCCATGACCACATGACCATAGTCAGATGCTCGCCTCCATAGCCTCCAACACAGCTCATCACAGCTTTTAGCCATTCACCCCACTGTGGTGCCACTACACCGTGTTTAGCGGCCTGTTTTCCCCCAACAGACTGTAGGCTCCCTCAGGAAACCACGACTCTCCCTCATCCGTGTATTTCCATAGCTAAGCGCCACGCCTCAAATGCGGGAGGCACGTAACGAGTATGGACACGGCAAATACATCTACAGGCAGCAAAGGAAAACAGTCAGCATCTAAAGCAGAGCAATGATTCACAACCCTTGGAGGAGGAGCTTCCTCCACGCCCGAAAAGGAGTGCGGAAAACACGGTTAAAGAAGAAGAGCTCCAAGAGCAGACTCCAAAGAAGCCAAGGAAAGTCAAGGGTAGCAAGGAAGTCACTGAAGGCTGTTTCCCCAGTGCCGGAAACTGAGGTATGTGACTGGAGAGATTTGGTAAATAATCCCTAGAGTAGACCCAGCCTTCATTCACTGACAACAGTGTTACTGGTGGAGCAACAATACCAGGGCTTCCTTAGGGTATCTCTGTCCTGGGAGGGACTTACTCCTCCAGAACTGCTCACAGCAGTTTGCCTCCTACTCAGTTCATAAGCACCGGCCTTGACCTTTGACCTGACGCACTGCTGGCACAGTCTCTTGTGCATGTGTGTGGGTGTGCGCATGTATGTGTGCGTGTGTGCGTGCGTGTGTGCGTAGGTGTGTGAGTGTGTGCGCGCGTGTGAGTGCGTGTGTGTGTGCGTGTGCATGTGTGTGTGCGTGCATGTGTGCGCATGTGTGTGCATGTGAGTGTGTGCGTGCACAACAATGCCCTGCATTCAATCCCCAGCATCAAAACACATCGACAATTCAGCAAATGGACAATTACTTATATAAAATGGCCTCTGTTGTCTATACCTAGCCCATTTTGTCTTTCATTAAAATTATCTTTTGATCAATGCATCCCTTTAGAATCTAAGAATTTTTTTTTAGATAAGTTAGTACTTTTACTCAGTTCTTCTGACAGCCTGTTTTTCCTTCTTGAAGGTAACTCTTTACCGGTGAACTCTGTGAGTTTCCTCAGTTTCTATGCTTCGAGTGACAAATCCTTATTTTTTTCACCATGTACCCTTTGTGACTCCAGAATAAATATGGTAGTCTGCCTCTCCTAGTAGCCACTGTTATGGAACACTGAGGTCTACAATGCCACTTAACAAATAAAAGCACGCATGAACTCCTCTGTCAAGGAAAGCATGGCTAGAGAAGAACCAGTAAATAAACAGAAAACCATGGGAAGAAGAATGAGACAGAGTCATAGTGATAACTTCAGCTGCAACAACAAAAACCATAGTGGGTTAGAAACTATGGAAAACACTCACTTAGCACCTCAACCCCCCAGAAAACCCTGTGTGCATTGCAGACACTCTTGAAGAGAAGCTGGGGCCCTGGATGATTTTAAACAGAAGTGGAAAATACTCAAACCAACATTCCCCCTTTCTTAAATAACTACAGAACAAAGAATTTCTTTTGTGTTAGGATCCTGGGCACATTATCTCATTTATCTGACACTCTGGGAAGTAAGATATTTTATAAAAAAGTAAATTATGGATATAACTAATTGGAATTCCTTAGGCATGAACTTCAACATCTTAATCCTTCTTAAAGAAGATTTAGGAGTCAACTCTAAGCACTCATCAGTTGTCTCACAAAGGGTTTGAGTGCATCAGTTTGGGAAGAGTTAAGCTGTGGTTGTGGTCAACCAGGAATCTGTCCTCTAATTTAGTGAAACTTGGGGACCACTAGGGACCTCCTAAATGTTTGCCATTGGCATCATTTTCCAGCTCCCTAGCACCAGTTTTCCGACTTGTCTTTTGAGTTCTCTATCCTCTTTCAACGACAGCTCCTCTAGGCTTTTTTTTTTTGTCTACCTGACTCTGTCAAGGCAACCCCCAGAAATCATGCCAAAAAACCTGGTATCTATGAATCTATGACATGCTGAGGGAGGGCTTCCACAAAGATGGGCATGAGGTAGATGAACTGTGATAAAATTGAGCATTTTGACAGTTAAGTCAACTATGCAGAAATTTTAGTATCCATGGAGTGGGTGAGGCTGCAGTCTAATTTTAGTGGGCAAGTGTTCCTACAGCACCATTCACACACAGATGCACACACACACACACATACACACAGAGATACACACATACACACACATACTCACACACAGACACACACATATACATATACACATACTCGCACAATACACACAGACATACATATATACACACGTACACACAGACACACACAGACACACACACACATAGACTTACCATATGTTCTAGAGAAAAACTGTACCTGACAGCATATACAAGAAAAATTAATATAGTAAAAGATGACTGGAGCACTTTGCACACTGGGTAAGTTAAGTTTTCTTTCAGTCATTTAAACCCTTCCTGACATCCCCCTCACACATACTTTATCAACCAGTTAACTGCATTCCAAATTTGTTCACGCCCTATTTCCATGGTCACCTATCTTGTTTTTTAAACATTATCTCAGAATACTTCACAATAATGGCTACATGAGTGTCCTCCTGTGTCACAAGACAATGTATATGCTACAGCCAGGGAGGGAGGCTCCAAATTGCTTTCTGATCATACTGCCCACCACCAGTGATTGATCCTGCCTGTCCCAAGTAACATACACAAACCAGTGTTCCTTCTCAGAACAAGGAATGGGACTGTGTAAGCCAGTCTTGGGGAAGTTCATGGCATTTATGTCTCTGCACAGTCTGCTCTGAGGTCCAAATCTTACCAACAAAGCACCAGGCTTCAAAATCAGGGCAGTGGGATGTCATGGTTCAAAACCTGCATCATCTGCATGTGTCTCCAACTCACAGAGACAGATCTAATCCAGATGTAAGGAAAGATGGTAAGCGCTGCAGAAAAGTAGACAACCAGCACATCACACAGCTAGGTCCTAGGAGCAGTGGCCCCAGGTGAGGATTTCAGGGTGGCCATGTCTCCCTTACAGTGGAGTCTCCCATAGGGCTGCATCAGAATCAGTTGGATATCCACCAAGGACAGGGTATGCAAAACCTGTAACTCAAGAAGGTGATTCTGGGCAGGTGCAGGAAGTTCCTGTTGCATAGAAGCCAGGAAGCATGAACTCACTAATGACATCTGTGTCCACCAATATTGTCATCTCTTTGGTATATTCAAGGGGCAACATAAAATAATCATTTGAAGGAAGGTTGGAGCCTTAAACATCTGAGAACCAAAGACATTTTTCATAAATTATACTGACAAAGGGACATGAAAAATAATCCAAAATCACGTATAAAATCAAATGGAGATGGAAGACATTGGAGATGAGGAAGAGTGAGACATAAAAATTTATTGATAACAAATGTTAAAGCTATTTTTTTCTCCTGAATATGGAGCAACCAGTTGGAACTAAAACGGGAATATGGAAACATTGCATCTCAGGAGGACTCAGGATTTTTTTCCTAAGAAAAATAAACTACTTTGTAAGATATAAAATCAAACTCAAGTTAAAAGAAGATTGTCAATATCTCAGATATCTCTGTGTTCGTAATTCCAGCTTTCCTGTCCACTGGTGGTGGTTATGTCAAAGGTTTCCTTCAATCAAACCCAGAAAGAGTGAAGAAATGGAATACGGAATGAAGCCTCACAAAGCACATTTTAAGAAATCTGTAAGATTTCACGTTGCTTTGTGCTGTTATCTTGTTTCTCAGTAACCATGAATGGAATTGTGTGGCAAGCACTGATCTCCATGCCCAGGACAGAGAATAGCACAGTAGTCTTGATTGCTGCCTTCAGAGATATGATAATACAAACAAGAAGACAGATAATGCGTTCCCAAGAGTATATGAAGTGTGTTGAAGGAAAACTCAAAGGTGACAGACAAGGAGGCAGGAATTAACCAATCTGGCATGGGTGAAAGAAGAAAACTTGTCTGAGAAAGTGACCTCTTGGCCACGCCTCACACATGAAACTATGTCATCAAGAGGCGAAGCCTCATAGGCAGTTATTTGACTATAACTAACAGAGATTCCATAATAACAAGCAGAAAACTTTCCCTGGAACATCAGCAAGTTATCAAAATGCAAGCCCCACAGAATAACTTAACAGTCTGTCTCCAGAACCGCTGGATGGCTCCTTCATCACTTACGACACAGACCAGACCAAAGCAAAGTTCAACAAAGTGGACATTGCAAACTTTTATTTATTGTTTACTGTTCCTCTGATGAAAGAAAGCTGCTGAGATGTGTTCCCTTGGCTCCCATTGTTCCACCTCCTAAAGGGGCTAAAGGTTGATGAAATGGGATTTCAGAATTAGTTCAACTTTCAGCAATAAGCAGCTTCAATGAGCAGCTGAGGTGATTTTAGCTAAGAGTTCATTGGCAGAGGCCGAAGGAGTGAGAGGAATGGTAAAAGCCACTCTTTCCCTGTAATGATCATGACTCCTGGCAGACCACCTTAACCGTAGCCGCAGGGCCAACAAACACACTTCCGTCTGTAAGCGGAAAGATTACGTCAGGTTCTGGAACCTGGAAGATGATCTGGCATTACAAGAAACGCTACTGGACAGAGTCTGGTAGAGAAATACAGCCCTGGCATCCAGAACCCAGCAGGACGGTAGCCAGCCAGGAAGTCTGAGACTCCGTTCCCACTCCCTTCCTCTGTTGTTATCACACGGGTAAGATGGAGTGGAGTGTTGCAGAGAGGACAAGTGTGTGGGTGTTCCAGCGAGGTTTGCCCCACTTTACAGAGAGAACACCACACCTGAGAGAAAGTTTAATGATGCAGGGACTATCTTTGAGCTGAAGGTGGCTTGGCTGTGTGTTGGCCCTAACACGTGCTGGCCTCATAGGACACACAGCACCCTTCCTCGCAGATGCCGTACACCTGTCTGTCCAACAGCCTTGACGGCCTGGGGGAGAGTGAAGAGAGTGTGGGCACTGAGGGAGAAAGGAATAGGAAGCATGCTGCCGTCGCTTTGCTCAGATTCTCTGTGATTTTTCTTGCTTACTCTTGTGGGCAATAATCAGCAAGATAACAGTTCAAATCTGAGTTACTGTGTGTGTATCTGTGTGTGTGTGAATACACACGAACACACACACACACATGTGTGCACACATGTCCACATAAAGTGAACTAAGTTATTTAATCCATTTCCATGCACTCTGTTCCTCAGTGAAAACTTGAAAAATGAATACTCAATTTTCATTGGCTGGCTAATGTAAAAGCACTTCGGAGTATGTCATCTGTTGCCATAATGATAGAATTTTTAAGGTGTTTAATTTAGCAGGCAAGCTGAATCATAATTGTCTATAGAGCCTACCCACCAGGGTATATATCTTCATGCCTCTTCATCATGCCATGTCAAATTGTATTTCCTAAGGTGCACAATAGGTTGTCATATGTAAGCAAGGAAATTCAATACAATACAATGTAAATTTAACACAAGGTACCTCTATTTACACTGAAGAATTATGTTTACTGTAAGAATTAAACAACAATGTGTCCATGTGCCATAAAAATAGCACGCACGGCAAATACTGATGCTCTCAACCTGTTTGTTTGTTTTGTCATCAGTGAGGCTTGGCAATAAGAATATCAACTGCATGCTGCCCCCAAGGTCCAGGCGCTGATTGAGTGTGGCAGATATCTCCCTATGTGAATACTTGATCCTTCAATTAAAAAGGAAGAGAGAGAGAGAGAGAGGGAAGCTCCCACACTGTGTAAGAGTGCCTTATTACTGTTATGCTCACCTAAAAATGGCATCGACGGAATCTAAAAAAGGCTGTGCTTGGGAAATTCTACCTGACAAATTGATAGGAGGTGTTTCATAAAAGTTAACCAAGGTTCGTTTCAAACTGTCAAGCAGTTTCCCTAAGCGGCTCACTGAATTCTAGAATCCACTGCGCCTGTTAAAACTGAGCACTAACAGAAAGAAAACAGAATTATATTTGATTATGGAATATAGTTATTTCATAATGAAACTTTAAGAAAATACACAGTTATTTCTTTAGTACCAGATAAAACCACAACAGATTTGCGAGCATTTGAGTTTTGCCCTTAAGAAATTAATAGTGGATGAGTAGAAATTTCCCTTTTATTTTCATATGTCTAGTTGGAACCTTATGCTAAGGACAATTCTGCAAAAAAACGAGAGATAGAGTAAGAAATAAAATCACGAATATTTTGCCATTCGTGGATTTGTTTTCAAACCCTATCCCTCCTTAATTAGCTGTCTTGACATTGAGTAATTAAATTATTTAATTCTTATTAATCCAATTTCTACATTTGTACATGGGGATATTGTAAATTTCATGGGCTAATTTTGGGAATTAAAGTACTATCATAGTTAGCTTTAACTGTCAATTTGACATAGTCTGGAGTCACCAGAGAAGAGGGTCTCAACTGAGGGACTGTCCTGATTGGAATGGCCCGTGGCCATATCTTGGGAGTACTTGTTTTGACTGTTAAATCATGTATAACAGCTCAGCCCACTGTGAGTGACGTCATTCCCTAGGTAGTAAGTCTTGGGATGTATAAGAAATCTAGTAAGCATTGGCCTGGGTGAGCTTTCCTCCATAGTTTCTGCTGCAAGACCCTGCTAGAGTTCCCAACTTCCTCAGTGATGGGCCCTGGAGGGGAGGTATAAGCCGAACAGGCTCCTTTTTCCCCAAAGTTACTTTTGGATAGAGCATTTTTATTACAGCAGCAGAAAGGAAACTAAACCAAGTGCTTAGTAAGTAGTTACAGATTGTAGCCGATCTTACTACTGATAGTAGGGGTGGGTAGGAAATCAAACCTTCCTTCTTTCAATGAACCAAAGATTGTATTCACCTGTGTACTAGTACAGCCAATAGAACACTTCAGCTTTACAGCACCCTCCATCCATTGTAATGGGAGCAGTGTGTATGGAAGATCAATACCTAGGTAATTTCCCTGCCACACTGATAAAATGATGTGTTTGTACAGTTATATGATCTTCCAATAATGTTGATTGTCTTGATAGTATTCTGTGTATGTCTTCAGAAACAGGTGCAGCCCTGGATTCTTGCTTACATGATTACAAGTCATGTTGATGTGTCTTTTGGTTAGTTTTAACTGTCAACCTGGCACAGTTTTAATCTCGTGTAAAGAGAACCTCACTGATGAGTTGTGTAGATTGTGTTGACCTGTGTGCATGTCTGTGTGCATGTCTGTGTGCATGTCTGTGTGTGTGTGGGGGGCTGGCTGGGTTAATGGACCTGTGAAGATCTGCCATGAATATGGGTAACACTATTTATGGGTCAAGCCCTGGACCGAATGAAAAGGACAGAGTATGCTGCATCTATCAAGCACCATGCTCTTGGCTTGCATAGTACTCGTTGCTTCAAGATCTCTTTGACTTTCCTGCAAGAGAAATCAGAGAGTGCAATGAAGTCGAGAGTGATCATGGGTAAAAGCCAAGGTTTGGGGCTGGTCCATGCGGATGGGTGTCATTTATGAGGAGTGTGACATGAAAGAAAAAGAAAGATGAGAGGATGAGAGATGGAGACAGGATTAAAAAGCCAACTTGGACACGATAAGTTTCAGATGGGATAGAGACGTATTAATGTTGCAACAAGGACCTGGGATGGTTTGTTTCCACTGTTAAGATGATGGGTTCTGGAATCACCTATGGGAGAAGCCACAGGGCCTGTGTGGTCTTATGTAGATCAGTGTAGCCTCTGGGCATGGCTGTGAGACACTATCTAGATTGGGGTAATTGAGGTGGGAGGAATCACCCTGATCGTGGGTGGCATCATTCCATGGGCTGGAGTCCCAAGCCAGATAAAAAGAGAAATGGAGATGATCAAAGCCATTCATCTCCAGTCACCTCAAGCTCCCATTGCCATGGCTGTTAGCTGTCTCTCAGGACTGTTTCCCTTGAACCATGACCCGGAATAAAGCCTTCTTTCCACGGTTGCTTTCATGAGGTATCATGTTACTATAAGGACAGATGTAACCAACACAGTGTCCCAAGAGGAGTGTCAGCTGGGCAGCTGATTCCCATTTACTGGCATCCTCATCATCACTTGTCAAAACTCCTGGGATTCGAATTCTTAAACCCACTTTACCAACAGCATTTCAGTAATCGGGCAAAGCAGCACTCAACATCACTTGAAGGTGCTTCTTTCCATAAACTAAATTCTGAACAGCAACAAGAGGCATGGTATTTTGTTAGGCTTTCTACAGGAAATGAATGAAGGATTCATTTTTTTTGTCAACAGGTAGGAGTGTTATACAGGTAATAAAAATGACCTCAAGTCTGGGTCAAATGGCGTCAGCGCCGTGAGGAAGGCACTGAGAAGATCGTGTAGCCGAGGGCAGGGGGAAGGCTGAAACTCAAGGGCAGTATGATGTCACAGATCGCTGTGGCTAACCTGTAAGGATGAGTTGGGTTTCTACAGAAAAAGGCGGGGAGATAAAGGGAAGCAGTGTTAACCTCCATGTGAAGAAGTTCCCAGAATAAGACAGTAATGTTACTTCAGAAACTCCTCATGTAGTGTGGCTCTACATTAAGCCACAAACATGAAGATATGGCTGGCCAGGCTGTGGTAGCACACACCTTTAATACCAGCATTCAGCACTCGGGAGGCAGTGGCAGGCAGATCTCTGTGAAGTTCAAGGCCAGTCTGGTCTACAAAGCAAGTTCCAGTATAGCCAAGACTACACAGAGAAACCCTGTCTTGGAAAAACCAAAATAATAAAGATGATGATGATTATGACAATGAAGATACTTTATATAATTTATATATATAATTATATAATTTAGAAGTCATTTGATCACCAGACCGCAAGATAGAGTTTAGTCTTCAGGTATGTAAAGGAAATGCAGGACCTTTGAAACCAGACAGAGGCAGGATGGTCAGGATGGTTTGGGGCAATGGATTATGCTTCTCCATACACCCAACAACATAAATGAAACAATGGCAAGCCTGGGAAAAGGGCAAAAGAGTCATTTAACAGCTCTTAGAAGACTTATTTTAATTGTCTGTTTTTATCTCTCTATGTGCATTTCTCTGTGTCTGTCTGTCTGTCTGTCTGTCTCTTTGTGTTTGTGTGTGTGTGTGAATGTGCCTTTCAGTAAATGTTCCATTGGAGGCCAGAGGAGGGCGTCAGAACCCCTGGAGCTGGCTTTAAAGCTGGTTGTGAGCAGCCCAACACCGGGGCTGAGAAATGGGTTTGGGTCCTCTATATGATTAGTATGTGATCTTTCCTACTGAGCAATCTTTATAGCCCCTTTAATGGTTTCTCCATCATGAAAGTATAGAAAATTCTACTGTAATTAAACATATTAGACGATCATAAAAGTGTTAGCAAAATATCCCTTACTTATTGCTTACTGCATATATGTAAAAAACGACCTTGCAAATGCACAGACTATAATCAGCAAAGATCCTGAAAAACCAGGAAAGGATTTCTCTAGACAAGCAAGGAGCATAGGGCAGGAAAAGTCTGAGTGACAACTATCTCCTGGGAAGAAGGAAGAATTCTATGCAGACCAGGTTAGCAGCCATCCAATCAGAGCAAATCAGTAGCATTTCTCTGACACCGATGGACTAGACAGATTTCTTTGTGCAGTCAGTAGTGTGACACGATTTTTGGCTGCTTAATATAGTGACCTATAGACGTTGTTTACTTTTATTAAGAAAGTTGTAACCATACAGAAGAGTAGTTTCAATGACAGAGAAAATCACTCATACTAATTACCAGAACTCCCTCCATTACCTCAAATATATAGCTATTGCATTTACTAAAAGTTTAATTTAAAAGCAGTTAGAATAATTAATTCATGGTAAACATGAGACAATCTAGTAAAACTCTAATGGTTTTTTTTCTTTTATTCTTTCTGGTTATGCTTACAGAGGCCATTTCAGTTTTCACCAATAGTTGTTTAAAACAGTTTCTGGAATATTAATGCATTTTGATATTTGTCACAAAGCAGGGTATGGTTTGCTAAGCTGTTCCTTCTGCCAGGGTTAAACAAGAATTCTGTGTTTAAGAAATCTTAAAGATATTTCCAGTAACTGAAAAACTAAGTAAGTGTTTTGTGTCTTAAAAAGCCTATTAAAATGTCTTTATAATGAGACTTAGTTTTCATGTTGTTTAACAGGATAGCTTTACTCTCTAAATAGCACAAGGACACATGCATCATGAAGGAATGCAATGCAGCTCGAGTTAAGTATAAATGTACGCATGTTTAATGCATGCATTGCTTAAATCTCTGTGTTGAAATATTTATAAACAGCATCCTGAGGAATATGAGTTCCAAGTGAGTTCTTTTAAAATAAACTTATTAACTAAAAAGCATCTGAAACACACTGTGTACATGAACTTCCCACCTCTTTTCCTCTCCAAGGAAGAACTAATGGCTGCTGCCAAGGGAAAGTCACTATAGACAATGTCACTCTCAAGGCTGCATTCACCCAGAGTCTCCATTTGTCCCTGTCCCCTTTCCTAGCACACACTAAACGATGGCATGCAGTACTTAAGAGCTATCAAGAGGGAGCACTTGTGAGCCACCAAACGTGCATGTCAACCTAAAAAGCTTACTCTCCCTAACTACGAAGATACTATCCCAGGTACTTTATGTGCTAAAACGATCATTAAAAATTAAGTACCACATATAAGCTGCCATTTAGAATATTAATTTACTTTTGCTAATCATGTTTTTAACTTCAGGCTGAAAGAGTTCACTCACCATTCGGATACCCAGGCTCAGTCCAGGAAATGTTAAAGGAGTCCAGTGAGCAGGAATGGGCTTGGGGGGCTGGCACACCTTTTGGAACTGTCTCCTCCAAAAGGGCCTGGCCAGATTTACTCGTGGCACAGCCACCACCGGTGCATGCCTAAGCTGGGACAGAGGAAAACACTTCAGTCCTGACCCTCAAATTTAGAAGAACAGAGAAATGAGACAATTCAGAGCAGAAGCCCAGGGTTCTGCTAAAATAATATTCGCTTCATTCCTCACAAATAGGCTTGCTTCCATGCTGAAGTATGGCATGTAATTAGAATACTTTTTAGGATGTGAGCATCCATCTCCAGTAAACACAAACTAACTAGGGAACATAAAAAAACAACAGCCTAAGTTACAGCCTAGAGATGCAGGGTGCATATTGCCTGGGTGGGCAGCTCTGCTGTGAGATTAGCTCTAAGCGGAGGGTCTCAGGGAAACACTCGTGTGCATGTGTGTGTGCGCACACACACACACACACAGGGAAACACACTCACGTGCATGTGCACATACACATACACACACAGTGAGAAAGAGAGAGAACACACACAGAGACAGAGAGAGAGAGACAGAGAGACAGAGGGAACACACCACTTCAGGAAAAAAATGCACTTAAGAATTCTCTAGGAAAATAGCCTTTATTTATTTGTTTGTTTGCTTTTGATTATGGGGTGAAGAATATAAGTCAATCATGGCATTCACCACAGTGTAACCTGTACATTCATATTTCAACACCATGAGAAATCAAACACAGCAACATTCCTAAGTCAATCAAAAAATATGGATCCCTTAAAACATGGGTGAGGAACTCAAAGTGATCCCTAAGATGGCATTTAACTCCAGAAACAGAACACAGACATTGGAGACATTGAGTTTTCTCATAATGAACTGTAAATGATTTCAAAGTTACTACTGAACAATCATTTATTCTGGAAATGGAGACACTTACACAGGGCTACTGCTGTCTCATTAGCAAATACAAGCAATTGCAATTTTATAAAACAAAGATAGTACTTAAGTTTCCTTAGAACTAGCCCTCCAAGTCTCAACTGCAATGGAGACAACAACATTAAAAAAATTGTTGACAAATGAATTTCAACCCAGGTCAAGCAAATGTGAAAACATAACAGTACAATAACTGGACAGCTTTTTAGTGCATTTCATGGAAGCTTGAGCCATAAGCGCCATTGTTTCCATTGATGTCTCTTGGCCTGTGGGGCTTGGTCAGCTACCCTCTCTGTTGCTTAAGGCACTGGGGAGTCTGCTTCCTCAGCACGGGAAGTGGGTGACTGGTCAAGAATCTCCTCATGTCAGAGCGTGGAGCAGTTTCCTACATTGTTACAACTGGTCACAGAGTTTTCATTAGGATAATAAGTAACAATGGATAGCCAACCGCTTAGAGATATGTTTGCTTCCTGATACAAGAACACTGTAGTACAGCTGGGGAGATAGCGCAGGTGGAAATGTACTTCCACAAGGATCCGCACACAATCTCCAGGATCCCACAGAGCACAGCTCCTTGTGGTAGCTCAAGCGTGTAAGCCCAGTGCTGTGGAGGAAGAGATGAGAGGCTGCCTGAGTTCTGCTGACCAGTCAGCTCAGCCTGATCGGAGAACTCTGGACCAGTGGGAGAACCCACTTCAAAACCATCCAGGTGGCCCTGGGAACATGGCTTAGTGAGTAAAGTAAAGCAGCTGTGTCACTAACATAAGAAGGTGAGCTGGGGTCCCCAGACAAACATGGCAAATTCTCCTGTATCCCAGGTGCCAGGGTTAGAGAAGCAGATGGCTCACCAGGACTCACTGGCCAATGTGAGGAAAAAAATGAGAAAAATGAGAAAAATGTAAGTTCAAGGACCCTGTCTCAAAAAACACTGTGGAAAGCACACACCCCTACCATGTGCACACATCTCCTACCACACGCACACACATACAACATATATGCATGCAAACACACAATGGGGTGGGGATAAATATGTAAACAAATAACAAGGAGGATATACATATGCATGCATGTATGTATTTATGTATACCTATATGGGGGGGCAGGGGACAGAGAGAGAGAGAGAGAGAGAGAGAGAGAGAGAGGTAGCCTGTGTCAACACTATAACTCCTCATGAGCTTAGGATGCTCCAGATGGGTGCCATCGTCACCCAGGGACACAATCTCATTGAGTAGGAGCCTGAGTAGACTCTGTGGGTTTCTCTTAATTTTTGGATGTAGAACGTGCACATACATGTAAAAGAAAAACCCTAGAGGATGGAGCTTTTACAAACCGAACAGAAACAGCTAGCATGTGGCCAATCCCTGATGTAAGGCTTCAGGACATGCCACCACCGACCCAGGAACCAGCTATGGAACATTTAAAAAGAAACGGAAAACATGTGTGGGCAATCTACACACTACCAGTCTCAGAACATTATCCAGGAAGCAGGGCTGTGTGAGATGTCTGAGTCATCAAAGCACACATTGTCAGAAGAACACCACATTGCTCAAAGAGAGGGAATGCATTCACTTGTATTTTCAGATACCCCCCCCCTTGGATCGAAGCATGTGGCAGTGTAGTCTCCTTAGACTGATCACACAATAGGATTTAATCCTGATTGTTGCAAATTTCTTTTTCATTGGTATTCATGTTTGCATCATTCCCTTGTTACACCTCTCCAAAGAAATACTGTGCTTTGTGACACACACTGTTGCATTTATTTAAATAGAATGCAAACTAAAATCGACTTTGTTTTGAGAACTTTATGATGTTTTCTAAAATAAATGTAATATCCTCTTTGGGGGGCTTTATTGTGGACTGTGTCACCTAAAATCTGCAAACTGGTAGCCTTAAAACAAAAGAACCTTGAAAATTCCTGAAATTATCTTTCTGGCTAGTGAGACAGGGTGTAAGGAGTTGTTGAAACAGCAGAAATATCTGCAACGTTATCTCCGTTTTGGCATTCAGAGGGCTCTTCTTAAAGTCAAATCGGATTGGGCTAATGCTGATTGCAATTCTGACTTAGGAAAAAATAAATAAATAACTGGATTGATTGAAGATGTCTTTAGAGCACAGAGAGGACGGTGAAAGCCTACGAGAAAGCAGCTCAGACCTGTTTACCTGTTTCCTACAGCTTTTAGTTAATTACTGACACATGAAAACAAAATTCACAATGCTGTGCTGCCATCTCCAATCGATGGGTCACTTCTGATCTAAAGAGGCTTTATTTGGTTTGATAAAATGTACGTGTAATCTAATTACGGTGACAATTTTTGAAATAATGACCATTAGGAGCTTCTAAAGCTAGCATTATCTTTTCCAGTGTTTTGTTTGCAGAGAAGCAGGGCCCAGGGGTATGAAGATGGCAGAGGTATTTTAAAGTGTGAAGAAAAACAACAGTTACAACAAATAACAACAATGAAAACCAAACCTAATAATTGCTTTATCCCTACCAATCTTTTCCTGAGGAGTTGAGCTCATCTGGTAAAGTGCTCACTTTGCGAGCAAGAGGACCCGAGTTCAGATCTCCAGAGCCCAGGTAGAAAGACGGCTTTGGTGGTGTGCATATGTAACCCTAGTGCTTTGGGGCGGAATCCAGAGGATCCCTGGAGCTTGCCGCACAGACAGTCTAGACAATCAGTGAGCTCTGAGCTCATCCTCAGAGACAGATTCAGTTTCACAAGAAAGAGTCAAGAGTGAGAGAAGACCCTTGACATTCCACATACATGTGCACATGCTCACTCTTCCCCAGGTACACGCACGGTCACGTAACGCGACACATACACACGGAATTCCAATTCACAATTTCTGTTGACATCCACTGAGTGACTGCTGTGAGCTGCCCCCTGCCTATAGTTGAACATTTTCAAATACTAGCCTTGACCCCTGCCTCTTTCCATAACTGCTAACTCACTGCATTTACTGGGAACCATTAGGACCTATCAACCTTCAAAATGAATGCCACCACATTATACTAGACATGACGCAAAGAGCATGGGCTTTGGAAGCACACACACCCCCAGTGCAGACTTTCCAAAAGATAGTGTGCAGTAGCATTTACAGACTCAGACTGTCCGTGACGGCATCTGGTGGTCATCCCTCATTCTTGCACCAACTGTCTTTGTAGCTCCTTGGCTCCAGCAGGCACTGGCAGCGATCTGCATGGACAACTTGGAAGAAGCAACTTCTCTGTTTCAGAGGCTTACAACCCAGTCTGACTGCAGAAATTAAATGAGTGACACAGAGTGGCTTTACTGTCCTGTGCCTGGTGTGTATCTTCCTGTTTCAAAGGCCACTCAGGGCTTGGCTGTCAGAGAGCTCTGTTTCCCAGCACTTAGCCAACACACTAAGACAATCCATAAAGGCCAGTATACTTTGTTGAACACCTGCTCTCCACTACTTATCTAGTGACCTTGAGAGCTGGTTATTATATTGAAACTGTGAAATACACAATAATCCCTCAATTAACCAGGATGAACCTAAAATGCCACGGTTCGTTTAGTTTACTGCTTAACTGAGTTACATTAAAAAAAAACAACAATAACAAAAGAAAACTTTCAGTGGAATACTTCCTGAAAATGCATTAGGATATTTTCTGCCCTGATAAATATAGGAACATGAGAAAGTTTGCCTCCTTAGTAACCTTTAGGGCACAAGGACGTCCATGTCATTATGGTCTCTGACACCAACACTACTCAAGACCTGACACATATTGTAATTATTTTGGTTTACCTTCTTTAGCTTTACAGAATTTTAGACCTCTCAAAAAGATGTTAAAAACCATTAGTTCAATGCCCTAATTTTAGTCCTGAGAAAAACAAAAGTTGATGAGCCTTAGTACACTTGCCTTGGGTTACACAGTAGTCAAATCTGAATTGAAACTCAAGGGAACAGACCACAAAGTTAGTTATACTTAGTTCTCAAGCTATAACAAAATTTATAAAGTATGGGATACTGCACAGTACATCCTAAAATTTGCCTTAGGAACAGAACAGTTTTATGCCACTTGCCTCCTGATAAAACCCCAAGTTTTGGCAATTTCTATTTAATCTTGGTTGCTTCCAAGCAATTGAGACTGTTCATGGTTTTCGTGTGTACTGTTATTTTGGAAACAGCATGGACTTCACTATCAGCTTTTGAAAAATCGGGTTCATGCACTTCTCAGCTTTTCAGTAACATGACCATAAGTGACCTGAACTGTCGTTTCCCAAATCTAAGTGCTGTGCCGAGCGGAGAGGCTCATGGGGCCATCCAGGACAGGGGCTCACACTGTCTGCCTGCCCTTGTTTGTGCTGCCAAGTCAGACACTTAACAGCAGTTGGATGCGGTTTATTTTCTCATGGTATAATATTTTGAGCATTCACGAGCATGTTAAGTAAAATGAATGCGTACACAGTGTCTACATAAATGTAAATTTATTCATAATCAAGAGCGGAATATTTTCTATGGCATTTATCAAAGCAAATACCCTCATATAGGTATTGCTATAAAATGAAGAGGGTGTTTAAAACAAATAGGGACGACCTCATGTTTATATTCAGTTATTTTCAGATGTGCTATTAAACTTAAAAAAAGATTATATTTCATCAAAAAGCAAAAGGAAATGGGAGTACAAATTCCACAACAATATCAAGGTCTTTTAAAAGACCTTCATACAGAGAAGTGCCATTTAGCATTAAGAGTGCCACCATCTTCCCAAGGAAACCTCTAAACTGTTGATTCTTGGTTTCATCAAGTGACTGTTCTTCTGAGACAGAAGTTTAATACAAATCACAGCACAAATAACAATCATGAATATCTTGGGGTCATTTGAATCTTCATTTAAAAATACGATATCTGAACTCATACTGTGAGGAGTTTTTCAAATGAATACAAGCACCACAGGCAACCACCTTATTAATCTAAGTATTTGGGGGAAAGCTCTCGACAATTAGACTGTCCTACAAATAATAATAAAAAATTGATTCTGATCATTTCAACAGAGATCTAGGAAAATCCACTAACTCAGATGGCCATTTTATCCTTCAAATCACACAAACTAAACATGCAGGTGATCAGCAAAAAGACTTCACCTTTAGGCTGTGGATGGAATTTTCAGTATAAATCCTAAAGGATGAAGCTCTTTGGTATTTTGTATATTTGATTTGGAAAGACTGGAATATGGGATGAAGAGATATGATAGATTCTAAGTTGACTTACTCCCAGCTTGACAAGGTATAGACACCCAGGAGAAAGGTGCTGGAGCATGGAAGCCTGGGCATTTTTGGTGCTGTTGTAGACAACATTCCACATTGTGGAGTTACATGTAGGATTCAAATAATATGATATATAGTTCTCTAGAACTCCATTTAGCTGCCTTGGTTGCTTCCACCTGGGAATCAACAAAAGCTACAGCATTTCACAGACTTTGGATATCCTCCTTGGAGGGCTTCACCCTCCCTGGGGAACAGAGTGGGGGGGGATTGGGGGGCTGTGGGAGTTGGTGGGAGGCTGTGGAAGAAGGGGAGGGAGAGGGATCTGGGATTGACATGTGAAGCAACCTTGCTGCTAATTTAAATAAAAAAAAGATACAGCATTTCATTCATTCATGTCTAAACAGAGACTGGTTAGGAGTGGTTAGGTGTCATATAAACTTTAATGTCTCCTGCTGCAAGGAAACCTACATGGAAAGCACAAAAGTAATTGTCTCTAAAAACATACACAGTTATAAAACACCTATTCTAAGAATCTTAAGGAAATGGGACATACCCTTGCCTTCTAATTACTTATTTTATTTTTCTGTGGTGTGTGTGTATCTGTCTCTGTCTGTGTGTGTGTGTGTGTGTGTGTGTGTGTGTGTATTATCTGTGCATGTGTGTATGCAGTGACTCACACATATAGAGGCCAAGTTTTTTATGTAGGTTCTGGGGATTTGAACTCAGGTTTTCATGACTGTGCAATAAGTGTTCCTATTGAGCCATTTTTCTAACCCTTGGTTACTTGTAGTTTAAATTAGTTAACAATATACAAATGTGCATGATTTTTTTCAATCTTAGGAGGATGCAGTATCTAAATACTTCTGAGAGACGTGTGAAGAATGACACAGCAATACTGAAAAGCTCAGCAACCCAACACAGAATAAGAATGTAGTCATGGAATACAGAGAGCAAAACATACAAGGGTCGGGGCAATGGCCAGGGCTTCATGGGACTGTGAGGTTGTCCATCAGATGGGGGCTTGGCTAGGCACAATGAAGAATGATGAACACCAGATGAGGGTTACAGTGCACAGGGGATGAGAATGTCATGTTCCAGAACAGACAGAAGACAGCTCGGCTGAGAAATACTCAGAGAAGCAGGCAATCTTAGAGAATAAATAGCATCACTGACTTAAGGCAACTGAGGGCCAAAACAAGAGCTTAGGATGAGAACAAGGACAACCGCAGCATGAGTGGTGATGCTTTTCAGCTTGAATGAATGCCATAATTTATTCAGTGTCAACATTTCATTCACAGATGAGAAAACTGGGAGTAAGAAATAAAAATGAACAAGCATGAATTGACGCTAAGAGGAATCTATTAAATTTTAACTCAGCTCCTTAGACCTCATATAATGAGAAATAAACAAAAGCCACTAAAAGCAGAGAAAATCTAAACATATTTATGTTATACTCCTCTCGGGCTTGAACTACAGGAAAATGAGGCTGGGTGTTATCGTAGAGGATCTGGATCTGCTTCCTGGCACTCACATGGAGGTTCACAACCCTGGGCAATGCTGATTTGGGTAATCTGAAGATCTTAAAGCCTCCTTGGGCATCAGGCATATATGGTGCGTACAGACACACACACACACACACACACACACACACGCAAATACTCACACATAAAATAAATCTTAAAAAGAAGGTATTTATGCACACATATAAACGTATATATTATTCCAGTTATTGCAAATTCTTGCAAAATACCCTATAACTATAAAGAACTTGACAGTGGATAAGTAGGTGGTCATTTTTCTTTTACTGACAACTGTACTGAAGTTGCACACACATTTAGCTTGGCATGATTGCCTAGAGACAAAATGGAAATTAAGTTGACAAGTGATAATCAGAGGTTCCTAGAACCACTGGCCTAATCATTTCTATGCATTTAATCACAATACAATTAGTCCGATGTCACAAGCCCTTCTGAATGAACTCTTTGGGATTCTTACGTGAACCAGCAAATGCAAGGCACAAGAGCTCTACTTACTGGACGTGCATAGCTCTAGAATCCAGGACAGCCAAAGTTGGAGGATCCACTTGTTCTGGTGGCCGCTGTGCTGTCTGCAGGATGACTCGAGAGCGGTTTGTGCACCCCACCTATGTGCATGCACCAAGTACCATCTCGTAGGCATGAACACCCCTAAGTCTGGGGGAAGGAGAGAAACAAGAATTTATTCTACGTAATACATTTCTCAGGAGAACTCACTACCCTCCTACATTCTGATGTCTAGGAATTGTTAAAATAAAGCTTAGCATAAGAATCACTAATTACAAAAAGCAGTAGAAATAAAACACATTTCTCTCTTAAATGACAGACAGGGCTGAATTGAAATGGACCCTTGTCAGTCACAGTCTCGATCTGACTTTTTTATTGTAAGAATTTGTTTTCTTGAATATCTATGATCAGGTAAATCACTTTCAGGGTTTGGTTTTAGTTCAAAGACTCTGTTAAAAAATAAATGAGATATTTAAATTATTTTGAAGACAACAGGAGTTGCTTTTGAAATGCAAATATATAGCCTATAACAAAGTCTTTGAAATTCCCTTTTCCTGTCTACCTAGCCAACCATGAGTTGACCTTCACATCATCATGTTGAGTGCCTAGGTATGCTCTACTTGTAAGACGTTCCTGGTGCTTCCAACTCTTACCTGGACAGGCAGCAGCTATCATCTGCTTGTCTGACCCCCGGACCACTTTGTGCAGACCCCCCAGCATGACACAGCACTGCAGCCATACTGTATCCTTAGTATCTAATGCCATGACTGACATACTAGAGGTTTTTAATATGTAGAACTGAATCAATGAATATAGAATTAATGAAGCAGATGACAACACAGTTGAGCTAGGTATGAAAGGCAACTGTATAGTACCCATGAATTTCCTTGGTACATCACACCTGTTTACTTTCCTAGTGAATACCATATCCCTAATGAGAATACATTAATCTACAGTTCCCTAATTCCATTCTTAAATGCCCCAATTCTTCACATATAAAAACACTCAGTAGTCTAAATAAATTTTGATCAAATTTACCAAACTTCAAATACAATTTGTACTTTCACAATATTAAAAATAGTAATTTTGAGAAACATCTTTGAAATATGTCATGATTTAAGTAACACATATTCTTAAATCTCATTAACCTTGAATCATTACAATTTCATGTTTAAAAGATTAATGACATGCAGCCTAATTCAGGCAAATAGCTTTTGCATTACACTGATAGCAAAAGTAAACTAGGAGAGGAGTGCTGATTTTCATGCAAAATGCAATCAATTGGTTAAACATGTAGGTCACCAGAAGAAAGGCAATCCAGTAATTTTATAGTGTTACCTTAGAACAAAAGGAGGTCACCATGATGACAGTTGGTGTGTTTTGTTTTGTTTTTTTACCAAATATCACTTCTTTATAGCTTCTATATGGTAGGTATCTAATGGTACCAGGCTGACATGGGATACCCTCATTCAGTGTTATCAGAGGAACACAGCAAGGATACACAGGGACCAACTTGGAATGGTCCAGCTCTGATAGATGATAAGATAATAGCAACCACATCAAATGTGCATGCGTTAAGAGTTGGAGAGCCCTTATTTGGACAAACATTGTATAAGACGTATGTTTGCAGTGATGAGGCACCATGACCAAAAGCAACTGGAGGCAGAAAGGGTTTATTTGTCTCACACTTCCACATCATAATTCACCATTAAAGGAAGTCTAGCCAGCACAACGTACAAGAAAGCATCTTGAGCATGGGTGAAACCATGATTGGTGTGTTACTAGGAGTCATAACCATAGGGATATATCTTACTCTGATTTTGATTTGTATGTGTGTGTCTGTGTGTGTGTGTGTGAGAGAGAGAGAGAGAAAGAGAGAGAAGAGAGTCACAGATAGAGCATATGAGTGTATGTGTGAGAGAGAGACAGAGAGAGCAAATGAGTATGTGGGTATGTAGGTGTGTGAGAGAGTCAGAGAGAGTATATGAGTGTGTGTGTGTGTGTGAGAGAGATATCATATGAGTGTGTGTGTGTGTGTGAGAGAGAGAGAAAGAGAGAGAAGAGAGTCACAGATAGAGCATATGAGTGTATGTGTGAGAGAGAGACAGAGAGAGCAATTGAGTATGTGGGTATGTAGGTGTGTGAGAGAGTCAGAGATATGAGTGTGTGTGTGTGAGAGAGAGAGAGAATATGAGTGTGTGGGTGTGTGGGTACACACTCATGTGAATTTGTGGAGGCAGGTGTTGACTCCAGATATCATTCTCAATTGCTGTCTTCATTTTATTGTTTTACTTTTTTACCAGGGACCTCTGGATGGCCTGTCACTTTACATGCCCCCCTTACCCCAATAATTTGTTGCTTTTAGGTTCTTTGTTACAGCCAGGAGAAAAGTACATGGTATAGATAGGGCTCCTGCCTGCCGGGCCACTGTGCCAGACCATGCTCGTGAGGACACTGTCTCCTTCACACTCTGCATTCTTCCTCTGTTGTCCCTTTCAAGGACTGGGTGAATTCCCTCTTTCTTGTCTCTCCCCCCAGGTTCTAGTTCTTTATATTCTCAGGGAAGGGGTTTCATTATATGTCATTTCAGGAGCAAAAGCAAGGATATCACAGAGCATAAAGGAGCTCCCATGGTGGCCAGAGGTCAGGGTCCACATGCCCAGATATGAGTGACTCTTGACTATGTCTCAGTCATACCAGAACATCTTGATCACCTGCAGTTGAGACTAGATACTGCTGTGTTCTTCACTCAGCAATTACCGGGCTTTCCTTTTCTATGACATTCAGATCGTTAAGACAGGGACTTGGCTGTCTAGTTTGCATTTGAAGAAGAAATCACCCATTCAAGAATGACACAATCTCGTACATGTGGCCTTTACACCTGGAACTTTGTTACCTCAGCTGTTGCCCCAGTGAATTATTATGTTATGTCTGGGCCATGGATTCCCCAAAATGTAAGATGCTCCATTTTCCTGTATACTATAAACCATGCCTTGAATGGGACTTTGATGACCCAATTCCCAAACTCCCACGATATTGCCACAGATAGGAATAGTTTCCTGTAGTGATGATATAGGGGCTGTTTCCTGTGTTTGGATTCTACTGTGACAAGTGGTCTTCTTCTTTGGGTTGGGAAGCATCCATTTCTATGGCTGTTAGGACTGGAGAGGAATCACACTTGGTACAGTGAGTATGACCCTTGTCTTAGTTTGTGTTCTGTTGCTATGAAGAGAAACCTTGACCACTGCAACTTTTATAAAAATGAAGCAGTTATTGGTGCTTTCTTATAGTTTCAGAGGTTTAGTCCATTATCATCATGGGAGGAAATGTGGTGGCATGAAGTCAGACATGGTGCTGGAGAAGTTGCTGAAAGTTCTACGTCCAGATCTGCAGGCAACAGTAAGAGCAAGCCACTGGGCCTAGCTTGGGCTTCTCAAACTTCAAAGCCTACCCCAAGTGACACACTTCCTCCAACAAGGCCATGTCTCCCAATCCTACAAATAGTGCCACTCTCTGGTGACCAGGCATTCAAATCAATGAGCCTCTGGGGCCATTGTTATCCAACCCCACAAATCTTGAATCAGGACTTAAACAGAAGAACCCAACCATGTCAAATCCTCCTGTCAGAGTTACAATTCACCTCAACTACTCTGCATTTGTAAGTACTGTTCAGTTTGTGGATGATCAAGGCATTGTATATTAGAACAAACATGGCTTAAGAATGCTCACATTTCCAAGTATGGTAGCTCATACCATAGTGTCGCAGTACTTGGAAGGTTGAGGCAAAAAGATTGCTGCAAGTTTAAAGCTAGCCTGGGCTACATGATGAGACATTTCTCAAAAATAACAAGTAAATCTTTCTCTCTCTCTCTCTCTCTCTCTCTCTCTCTCTCTCTCTCTCTCTCTCTCTCTCTCTCACACACACACACACACACACAGAGAAAATCAAAACCCCAAACATTACTGGTGCTAAATAATATGGAAACTTATAAAAACTTGAAAGCATAGTAAGAGCAGTTAGGGCCAGGGTGGTTTGATAGACATGAGTCAATGGCCATCTCACTGAAGTGACATTTTAAGCAGAGATCTGAAGCCAATGGATATGGAAATTGTAGGGATTCTGGAGAGGGCACAATACAGGAGAGGGTATAGCCAGAGCCTTAGCTCATGAAGGAATAAGAGAAAGGAGTTAAAGAGAGAGAACCTTCAGGGTTTTCTTATTAAGGAAAATAGAGAATTGAGGCAAGAGATAGATGGTAGGAAGGGGTAGGTGAAGGGATACAAATATCTGAATGAGAGACAGGAAATAGTAATGGATGAATGAAAGCCAAGAATTACTGGTTATCTACAGCCTTGCTTGATAGAAAATGTGATGGGACTGCATGGGAAGAGTTGTGTGCTGAGGGGGCAGAAAGAAGCAATCACAGGAACAGGAAAGAGTCTATGTGGGTGGGGTGCTGTCAGGTTAGGAGTCTGAGAGCTGTATCATCAGCCAAGAATTCTCTTTGGATTGTTTGGAAACAGCAGCGATGACAAAAATACCCCTTCACACACACATCCTCTTAAAATGAAATCTAATACTGGCCATCATGACAGTAATTGGCTTACCGATTCCCTACTTCACATCCCGTTCCTTCCTACCCCTGACATAGCTAGGTTGCGCTCACATCACAAGCCCTCTCTTGGAGGTCTTTGAAGGGGTTGTTCTCTCCACTGGAAGTCCATTTCCTCTGTTGTTGGATAACCTTTGCTTCCCCTCACTTGAGGAGTCTCCTGGCTAGTCAGACAGCTCACCATCATTCACGGCTTCCCTCATTCCTGGTTTACTTCTTTTTTTTTATAACTACCCAAACAAGTCGAATTATGCTGCCTTCTCTTCCAACTTTCTATCCCGTTCAAGAGAACGGACGCCTTTTGAGTACAAAGAAATATTTGCTATCATGCTGCCCATATTATCGCATGATTAGAGTGATGCCCAATGAAAATACTTTTCATTTGTTGAATAATGAATGGACAAGACCAGAGAGAGAGACCTCAATATCCCTTACATGGACTGACATTATCTTCTTTAGAAATATAGTAACGTCTAAAAATCTCAAAGAATTTATCTAACACAACTGTCAAACCAATGGAGGCCTATAATTATAA